TGGGGTTTCAGGCTCGATCCCCAGTAGGGGGCTTGCAGGAGGCAGGCAATCAATGTTTCTCTCTCACATGGATGTTTCTATTTCCTCTCGCTCTCTAAGAAAAAGAAAGAAAGAAACAAAAGACAAAGATAACCTGACTACTAACAAATCTAGTTAAAAACAGAACTGGTCAAGCCCTGACCGATGTGGTTCAGTTGGTTGGGCATTGTCCCGTGTACCAAAAGGTTGCGGATTGGACTCCCAGGCAGGGCACACGCTCGGCTTGTGGGCTTGATCCCCTGTAGGGGGCATGCAGGAGGCAGCCAATTGTTGCTTCACCCTCACATTGATGTTTCTCTCTGTCTCTCTCCCTCTCCCTTCCTCTCTCTAAAAATCAACACACTATTCTTTAAAAACAAAACAAAAATAGAACCAGTCAAGTTGGTTTTTTTTAACCTCATGAGTCCTAACTGCAAGGAAAAACACTTCTCTATTCTAAGTCAGCTTTTTTGAAGGCAATTCATTTCACAAATTCAAGTTCAAATAATATTCTGGTACCTTCCCAACTTCAATTTATAATGAAGAACTCAAAGTTATATCTATATAAAGCAAAAAAATATTTTCATAACAGAAATAGCTATCCAATAATTTGCTTGATCAACAGAATTCTAAATAAGGAGCTTTCCTATAGACAGGAGATGTTATACAAAGCAGGTATCCTCTGTCTCAACACATGTGTCTGCTCTGTCCATTTCTCCTTGTATTTCCAATTGTTCTTTCCAGTAATTTCACTCACATTCCTTCAACATTTCCATTTATTTCTACAAGCAAAGGTGGTTCAAAGCACTAGTGACTCTTGTCTATCTACTAGCAGTGTGGCTAAGCCACAATGCCCATTTGGGTTAATAATGCACAAGGTCAAACAGAGGTTGACAGTCCATGATCAAAGCAAGCTGGCTATTCTTTCTGTCATTTATATAGAACACACAAGATGTGTTTATTTTCACCAGCCTCTGAATGACCTTCTTTAGGTGGCATGGAAAAGATCCCACATTTCTATAAAGCATTAACTGAAGGAGTTTTCTTATTTGATACTCTCATTAAGAGCAAATTTTATTTTTTTTTTAAACTTTTGATCTCTTTCAAAAACATCTTTGTTTGCTCAAGAATCCCTCAAGTTAAAGGCCATATGTCTACATCAAATTGGTATAATGGATAAAACAAGGACAGGGCAACTAGCAAATGCTCAAGAAGAAAAGAGATGCAGGCAATAGGCTGCCATCACAAATCATGGGCTCCGCAATTTTTTCAAAATTAGTAAAGGCAACAGCACTTAAGATTTCAACGTCAAAAGGCAGCAAAAAACAAAACATTTTAACTCCATTTTCGCGATTTAAAACTCCTACTCTTTTATCAATCTGAACATCAATTATACAAACACTGTAGACTTTGTAATTAGATCAACTAGTAGAAAGCCAGCATAAGTACCAAGCAGTACAGCCTACAGATGAATAAAAATATGCATTTTCATATCAGGTATTTTGACTATATTTTAAAAAGATACAGTGACTTGTTATCAGCACCAGTTTATAAATTAAAGATTTACAAATAATTGTAAGCCAATATTCTCTCTGACCAAGATGAAATAATACTCTTCCCAATACTGTTATACTGTGAAGTCATAAAACTAATATTTGGACCACCAACACCAAGAGGAGGAACAGCCCCCACTCCCCCCGCCACAAACACACACACAAAATCAGTCCATGGCTATCTTGTCAGAAATTCACAAATAAATCAATGAGTCTTGATTAGTTTATGGGTATTAATCACATGGGAGACAGTAAGTCCCTCAGTTACCTTCCTTTCCTCCTGTTGAAACAGGACGGCCAGCCCCGGCCGGTACAGCTCAGTTGGTTGAGCACTGTCCCATACAACAAAAGGCAGCGGGTTTGATTCCAGGTCAAGCACGTACCCAAGTTGCGGGTTCAATCAGGAGGCAACCAATCAATGTTTCTTTCTGAGATCAATGTTTTTTTACTCTCTCTCTCTCTCTCCCTTTCTCTCTCCCTCTGTCTCTTTCTCTCCCCCTCCTTCCTTCCTCTCTCTAAAATCAATAAAATTTTAAAAACAAAACAAAAAACAAGAAGTCTACTGCCTGGAGGCTCGAGAGAGATAAAACAAGATGGTAAGGCATTAAAGACAAACCATTATTAAATAACAAGAAACATCAGAAGAGAAACAAAAACAGATGATCAAAAATGATGACAAACACTGGCAGTGAGTGGTCAAGTAAAGCAATCATTATTTATAGGGGGCCAGGTTAGAAAAAAATAGGCCCTAGCCCTTCATTATAAATCTTTAATTTACGTTTGAGCATAAGGGACTGGGAGAGAGGAAACACCCTGAGATTCTCCTCGAGTGTACATCTTGCCTCACTGTCATGGGGGAAATGCCTGCAAGTGAGGAAGCTGAAGGGAAAGGCTAGAGTTGGAGAATGAGAGATGTATGGGTAGCATGACAAGGTAGAGTGAGTTTAAGAACTATTCATCTTATTTTTCTTTGTTAGGAGATGATGACAAGGGGGAAAGCATCTAAATAAAGCAAAATGCTTGAAAAGAGAGGTATTCTATCACTGAAAGGTTTAAATGTATAAATGCCACTTGAATGCGATGTCTTCTCAATGTTGACTGCTATTGTGCATTTTACAGCATTGTATCTATTCTGGAAACAAACTCAACGGTGGCTTAGATTTTAACAAGAGCTAATTATAATTTTCAAAAAGTCTTCAAAGGCCTTTCTTAAAAAGTACTTAATCACCTATAATATTTTTTTTAAATTATCTTCAATCAAGCAGAATAGTGCAGTAAAAGAACCTGAACTTGCCTCCACTAGCTTTGTAGTGTTCAAATGACCAATTTTCTTATACGGCTACTTCACTTAATTATTCAAACACCATATCATTACTCTAAACCACATTCACAACACAGTTTATATGTTATAACAAAACCCATTCACACAAGCTATATTTGAAAACCTTCAGAAACAGTCAAGAAGCATACCCATTGATTAGATTCTAAATCTGAGAATTACAGAAACTAAATTCTCTGGGCTCTGCACTTAGGGGTAGGAGTAACACTAAAATATCTTATATCTTATTTACCTTTCCTTTAGGGGTGAAAATAGATCATCTGAGAACATAACAGACTTCTCATAAAATAAAAGGCATTCTTTAAAACTGAGCAGCACCTGGTAAACATAATCCTCGCTCCTGGTTTACTTCTTCCTTCTCCTGCTCCTAAACATGACCCAAATTCCCCTGTTCCATCCCGTATCACTACCACCTCCTCCACTTCCCACTCCAGTTCTGCAAAGAACTCTTTGCTCCTTCCATAGTTTCTGAGTTGAGGATGTCATCACACTCAACTATGATAACTTCTATGCAAACAATATAAAATCTGTATCACTAAGGTGATTATCTGCCTCAGTTCTACAACTGCTTACCTAACATCTTTATCTGGGAGGCACAGTAATAAAATGGCTAAACATACAGACTCCTAGTCGGACTGCCTAGGTTAAAATCCCACCTCCGCCATTTATGAAATGAACAGCCTTAGAGAACTTCATCTATGAAAGAGGGGCTGCCTCATCTGTAAACCAAAAATAAAATTGAGATCTACAACGTGATAGCCTGCAAGAACTAAGCTAGATAATATCCAATTGATGTAAAGCACTCCGAACAGTGCCTGCCACAACGGATATAATCAATAAAGATCAAATATTATCCATTATTTTATTACAATATTTAGCTGTGACTTCAAATACACCATGATCAAAATCAAAACACGTCTTCCCTCTAACTAAACTCCCTTTCTGGAATTCCCTTTATTATTCAAGTCAGAGAAAGTCACATTCAACAATGCTAAAAGTTGTAAAGAATTCTTTTTTCTCAAGTTGACACCTTCCTTCCAACTGTGAACGACGCACCCAAAAGGAGGCCATCAGTACCCCGACTACTGCAAGTCTGTCCTATGGCCTCCTAGTCTTTTCTCTTGTTTATACCCACCCATTCTTCACACTGCTGCATGATACAATTCACTGAGACCAAGGAGAAGTGGGACGACGCTCAGCCACTGAAACAAACCAGCCAGGGTAAAAATTAATTTACCTTTCACAACAGTATAAAGATAAAAAAAAATACTGCACAGGTAAAAGGAGAAAGAACAGATTTTTTAAAATAAAAAATATTGGAACAATTTGATATCTACCTTGTTAGGGGAACAAATCTAAGATACACAGGAGCTACACGAAGAAATTATAATCCATAGAAAGTCAAAAACAACCTAAATACCTAATCCATGGGTTGAGAGACTCATAATGTAATTATATTAATTCTCCTCTCAGTCATCAAAAGACTCAATGTAATCACAATCAAAAATCACTTGCTGAACTTAAAACATGATATTAAATCTATATAGAAGGGCAATGGAAAGCCAAGACACCCTTAGCACTCTCAAATATCTAGACTTAATATAAAGCTATACTAAGTATGACTGTGTAGAATAAGTATCATAATAAAGGAAGAGATTAATAAAACGCAGAGACAGACCCAAGCATCTATGGGCACTCAATATGATAGAGTGGACAATACATAGATAAAAGGAGAAAGGATCAGTTTTTTAAAAACAGAAATGAAACAAGGGCACGTACCTGGGTTGCAGGTTCAATCCCTGGCCCCTGTCGGGGTTGTGTGGAAGGCAACCAATTGATATGAGTCTCTCACATCAATGTTCCTCTCTCTCTCCCCTTCCCTTCCTCCCTTCCATTCTCTCTAAAAAAAAGTCAACGAAAAAATATCCTTGGATAAGAATTAACAACAATAACAACAACTACAAGTTCAACTCATACATTTTTGATACATACTGAAGATTTATATTATTAGCAGTCTTTCAAAAACAAATTTTCTTAAATTAACTCTTAACCTCTCATAAAAAATAAGAAAAAAATCAACTTCTACTTACTTTATTGAGTTTCTAAAGTGATCTTCAGCTGGGTTTTTTACAGTACAACTATTCAGGAGCCATAAATCTGCATCTGATGCATTTTCTGTTAAAAAAGTGAACACAAAAAAGAAAAGTATCACATTTAATCAGTCAAAAATATCCAAGTGTCATTTCCACGGCACTGGGGCTGCTGGGGGAGAGCATAGAGAGGGAGAGGATAGAGTCAAGTCACAGGCAATTACAATATAGTAGCAACTGCTATTATAAATAAATGTATAAATGCCTCAAATGCTTGATGCTATTCCAACTACCTTGCTGCCTAAATGGACTTACACTTTAAGATAGGATTACCACAGTAAAAGGAAAACCAAAATTGAAAGCCTCAGCATCTTCGATGGCATTTCAATCGGAGCAGAAGCTAAGACCCAAAGACGTGAAGGAAGTGCACAGGCGGGTGCCTGTGTGTGCGGCCTCGACCCGAGGCGGGAGCTACAGGGGCCAGCGTTCTGTGAGAGGGCGGGTGAGCACATCAGACCTTCTCGTGACTTGGCAAAAACCTTCCCCCCCAACACTTTATTATAAAAATGGTAAAATATTTTTAAAAAGAGGTAGGATCCAAAAATTCTTGAGATGATAGAAGAGCAAGGGAAGGTCCTTAATTTCTATATAACAGCTGAATACTATGGACCCTCCTAACGCGCCTCACTCCTCCCATTCACACCCCCAGAGAGTATGTCCCAACCAACAGCCAGAGTGGCCTTTTATAAAACATAAATTTGATTAAGTCACTTCTCTACTCAAACTCAGAAATGAGAAGGATTCTCCTACCTCTTCTAGTTCCCCCCAAACTATTCCCCACAATTCCATCTGAAAGATATTCCTCTAGCCCGGCTGGTGTGGCTCAGTGGTTGAGCATCGACCCATGCACCAAGAGGCTGCCAGTTCAATTCCCGGTCAGGGCACATGCCCAGGTTGTGGGCCAAATCCCCAGTGGGGGGCATGGAGGTGACAGTCAATCAATATTTTCTCTCATCGATGTTTCTCTCTCTCTTTCTCTCTCTCTAAGAATAAATGAAAGCAAGAATAAATGTTTAAAGAAAAAAGATATTCCTTTAATATCAATCTGATCACAGCGCTCTTGAAATCTTCCAATGATTTCACATTGATATTCAAGGCCTATCCAGATCGAACCACCTCCCCAACTTCAATATTCACTTCTCCCTAAATTCATCCGTCCCTCCAGCCACACAAAACCACCTGAAATTCCTAAAGCTTGTACTATTCCATCTGCCCAGAATAACCTTATTTGAAAAGTTAATGGCAACTCAGACAGCCCTTCAACCTACCTATCCACCTTGCTAACTCCTACTCATCCTTCAGTTTCAGCTTGAGGTTTGTTAATGCCTCTTCTCTGCATTCCCATAGTAGACTGCATAGACCATTCTGGCACTTTATACTTCTGTATTAAAATAATTCACTTTCTGAAGTAGAAATTAGATGGCAACAAGACTGTAGATGAGGCCAATGTAAAAACAATGGGAAAAAAAGTAAAGGCAAGAAAACCAGGTGGAAGTTGACACATTGGTCTAAAAGTAAGTGAGAAATTGGCAGGTAACCTCGACTAGGATTATGGCAACGGCAAGAAGGAGAAGCAAATGGAGGTGTATTTTGAAGGCAGAAAGAAGAGAACTCACTGAGATTGGATGAGTCAGACAAGAAGTAATCAAGTACGGTTCCTAAGCACATAGGGAAGGATTTTGGCCTGAGATCAGTTGTTTGTGGTACCATTTATTGAGACAGGAGAGGATTTGCAAAGAAACAGATTTGGGGATGAGAGAATCAACAGGGTTTTTTTTGGGCCATGGCATAATTGAGATCCCTATTAAATATTCAACTAGGAATACTGATCAGCCATTTGGGTATATAAAACCAAAGCTCAGGGGAGTCTTTCAGGCTTGAGACACAAATGGGAGAATCAGAACCCGAGAGAGGTCCAGCCAATGTGGCTCAGTGGTTGAGCATTGACCCATGCACCAAGAGGTCATCGGTTCGATTCCTGGTCAGGGCACATGCCCAGGTTGTGGGCCCGATACCCAGTGGGGGGCATGCAGGAGGCGGCCAATTGATGTTCTCTCTCATTTTCTATCCCTCTCTCCCTCTCCCTTCCTCTCTCTCTAAAATCAATAAAAAGAAAAAAAATTGTTTTAATTTATTTAAAACAAAACCCCAGAGAAGATATCTGCGTCTATAGGATATCTGCACCTAAGGAGACGGTATAGCAGTGGAGGGGAAATGGAGAAAGGAGAGGAAAACAGTAGAAAACAAAACGCTGGGTGATTCAGAAGTCTGGTAGAGAAGTTGAGATGAGAAAAGGACGTTGAAAAAGAGCAGCCAGTAAGGAAAGAGGATAAAAACCAGGCACATGATGTCACTGATATCCAGAGAAGACAGTATCTGAAACAGGAGTAATCCACTGTGTTAAATGCTGAGAGTTCAAGAGAGAGAACTGTGTAAATATCAGTATTGTTAACAAAAGAATAAAATGACCATCCAAATGCTTTCATTTTCCTTTCTCAGTTTTGAGTAACTGCTTGCTCTGTGCCAAGCCGCAATCACCCAGCAAAGGCCCTTTTTCACTAAGTAACACAGAAAACAAACTCACGACGGAAAGGGAATGAGTAGGAATATCATGTATGGCTCTTTGCCAATAAAGAATTCTGATTTCTCATGTTTGGTCCCCTTCTGATCACATTTCCTGGGTTCTAAGATGCCATCAACTGTAAGAAACACCATCAACTTAGTAACAGCTTTTCAAAAGGAGCGGAGCATTCCATTCATGTTCTTATTAACCTTAACATATATCCCAACTTCAAACATTAACACGAGAGGCAGGATGGGGGTGAAATGCAGCTGAAACAGAAGAACTGAGTGAGTTTAGCAATCGTCTTGGAGTGGCACCATCTAGAACAAACAAGAAATACCGAAAAACCTGCCTTTCCAGAATCTCATCACCTAAAATAAATACATGTTCAAATATAGTACTGCTAGTAGATGAACAGGTTACGGAATGAAATAGACGAGGAGAGAAGGGTGGCATCTTATGGTCTGGCCTTACTCACAGCATCCAGGCAGGTCCACCAGTGCCAGGAGGAAGCAGCAGCATTACAGAAGAGCCCTTAGAGACAGGGGATATGGTAGATGGACAAGAATGAACCAAGGAAGAGAAAGACAGTAAGAAGACACCACGCTTGGAGGCACAGGCTTGAAGAGGACCCATAAAAGACTTTTACCTGCTTTGAGATTTGACCACAGCACGACTGTTAACCCCTGATATGGAACTGAAAGTCATCTGCACATTAGCCAAATGTTGCCAGTGCCTGAGCTGGGACATCAGGACCAGTTTGGAAGGCTACAAACTGTAGGCTGGCCAGAGAGAATCTAGACCTCAAGGTAGGATTATTTAGTCTTTCATTATCAGGCCATAGTGCTGCCATGAATAGCATTATACATATATCATTCTGCATTCTTCCCAGATTATCCCTGGGATCAAATCCAAAAAAGGATTGTTGGGTCGAGGAAAAATTCATATGTAACTAAAGAATCAAATGTTCCTCTCTAAGGGGTGTCTCACTTAGCACTCCCATGAGCAACGCAAGACTTTGCCTGTTTATCCAGAGCATCACCCACAGCATGTGCTATCACACCTGTGGGTTTTTGCCAATCAGGTACAAACAGAAAGTCAGGTAAGGTTTTTGTTTGTTTGTTTGTTTAATGTTTAAATACTTTTTATATAGAAAGGAAGGGAAGGGGGAGGAGAGAGAGAGGGGGAGGCGGGGAGAGGGAGAGAGAGAGAGAGAGAGAGAGAGAGAGAGAGAGAGAGAGAGAGAGATCAATGTGAGAGAGAAACCAATTGGTTACCTCCTACACACACACCCTGACCAGGGATCAAACCCGAAACCCGGGCATGCGCCCTGACCAGGAATTGAACCAGCAACCCTTCGGTGCACAGGACAACACTCAGCCAACTGAGCATCTTCTCATGCTTAGGAACCATCTGCAGGATTTTTTTTTTTTTTTTTTCAGTTTTCAGTCTGTTCATATCTTTTGCTCACTTTTCTACCAGGCTAGTCATTTTCATTTCAAGTTTTAATTTAGTGACATACATAAACAAACTATATATACAGAGAGAATATTGCTTGCCTATGATATTAGTTACAATATTTCTCCCCAGTTTGTCATCTTACTTTTTCACAGTTTCTTCATACTTTTTTATTTCCAGGATATCAAATTTACCCACGTCTTATTGCTTCTGGATTCTGAGTCATAATTAGAAAGTTTCCTGCACTCCCAGATTGCCAAGGAATTTACCCGTATTTTTTTCTAATACACATATTGTTTAACATTTAGACCTTTGATATATTAGGAATTTATCCTGATACACATCGATATTACTGAATCTTTAAAACAGAAGATAAAATAAGATCCTATATACTCCTATCAAATTGGAACATAATACAAAGTATGATGCTAGCAAATGAGTGGGAAACAGGCAACCCCCTCTGCTGACGGCAGTCGGCACCAAGGAAACTCTTGGGAGTAACAATCAAAAATGTAAATGCTACCCTGGCCGGTTTGGCTCAGCGGTTAGAGTGTCGGCCTGCGGTCCTGAGAGACCCGGGTTCGGTTCCCGCTAAGGGCGCGTACCTCGGTTGCGGTTTGTCCCCGGCCCTGGTCGGTTGTGCGGGTGGCAGCCACTCGATGTGTTCCTTTCACATCGATGTTTCTCTTTCTCTCTCTGCTCCTCTCTCTCCCTCCCACTCTACCTGAGCAAAAGGTGGAAAAATGTCCTCGGGTGAGTATAAAAAAAAAAAAAAATGTAAATGCTGCCCTGGCCAGGTGGTCATTGGTTGAAGCGCTGTCCTGTACACCAAAAGATGCAGGTTCAAGTCCCTATTAGGGCACACACCCAGGTTTCGGGCTCAATCCCTGGTTGGGATGCATGCAGAAGACAACTGATCGATGTTTGTTTCTCTCTCTCTCTCTCTCTCTCTCTCTCTCTCTCTCACATCAATTTTTTTTTAAAGAAAACAAAACTATCGGAAT